AAAATCCTGTATACAATGTTGCGTATTGCGGGCTGAGATAGACGCTGAATGCGATGTCACATACAAAGTCTACATACATGCATACATGTCTACGTCCATACATATATATATACATCCATCTATACATACATACATACATCCGCGCATGCATACATACAACCACCCATTCATACATATATATATACATTTATATATATATATATAAACATATATATATATATATCAATGGCACATTCTCACTCTCCTACCTCATCGCCTCTCCAGCCCTTGACCGTGTACTCGAGGTTTGGACAAAGCTCCAACGGTTTCCCTGCCACACAGTTGTGCGTGCCCATGCTCACCACCCCCCCTGCGTGTGCGTAGATGTTGCTCTGATGTCCTGTTATCTTAGCCACAGGTGATAGGTTTCGGTCCAGCAGAACAAACGTGGCATTGGGTGGGATGATCCCTTGGTCGTCCGGTCGTACACCCACACTGGTGGCTGTAGAGGCGGGTAAGAGGGATGCAGTTATGTGTATGAGTATATGCAGGTGTTCTGGATGGTGTTGTTATAACCGGTGTGGTGGTGGAGCATGCAATGTTCTGGTACGGACGTACTATGAGAGAAGTGCTATCAATGTGCATGCGTGATAGCGCCATAGGCCGATAGCCGCACATACATGTGGGTATGTGGACAAATAAAGAAAGCATGAAACCCACCTAACAGTTGAAGTGGCCATACAAACAAAGAACAAATGCAGAACAGATACACATACACAATCACACCGAATCATACGAAGTACGCAAGAAAAATGCTATCACTGCCATCACTGGTGCAAAAGCTTCTATACAGAGAGCACCACAGATACCACAGACACAACATACTATCACTCCCATCACTGATGTGAGATTCTCCATCTACAGACAAGTCTAGTGAATCAAGATCCAGCGTGCACGTGCTGTTTGTGTTACTTGAGCGTGTGTCACAGTTGAAGCCGCCCATCGATGCTCTGGGTGAGGCCGACAGCATGGCAAGCGCCCCAATAATATCTCCTTCTATGGATGGTTGTTCGTGTATTGTCTCGGGCGTATGGCTCACAAACGACCGACCTGGAGAGTGAAAGAGAGAGCGAGAGGGATAGAGAGAGTGTGTGTGTGTGTACGTGAAAGAGTGAGAAAGAGAGTGTGTGAGAGAGAGTGTGTGTGAGTGAGAGAGTGTGTGTCTGTGTGTGAGTGAGAGTGAGAGAGAGGGAGTGAGAGAGTGTGTGCGAGCGAGAAAGAGTGTGTCTGTGTGTGAGTGAGAGTGAGAGAGAGGGTGTGAGAGAGTGTGAGTGTGAGTGTGAGAGATAGAGTGAGAGGGAGTGAGTGAGTGAGTGAGTGAGAGGGAGTGAGAGAAAGTGTGTGTGTGTGTGAGGGAGAGGTGGGGTGGGTACAATGTAAGAGGTTTGAGAGACCAGACGTGGGTAGACACATAGGGGATAGGAAGTGGCCATGGGCGAGTCGACTAGGTGACGCAGGAAGACACCCGGCTGAAGAATAGTAGACGTCAGGCGCAAAAAATCAAATGTCCATCATCTGATGTGTGCCCTAGAAGTACGGTGAATATCAAATGTGCACACCAGCAGATGTCAATAATAACACACACAAAAATATACATGAGCACCCATACCCATCGAAGACGCGAGGCTAACCCGTCTGTGCAAATCTAATGTTCACACCAGACAGACTATCGAACAATAACAACACACANACATATACATGAGCACCCATACCCATCGAAGACGCGAGACTAACTCCGTCTGTGCTGGCATTGCGCACATGGGCCATAAGCGTGTGGGGCCGCAGGAACAACACATCTGTGGTCACGTGCGGTGGTTCAGGGAACTGCTTCATATCGTCCAGCAAGGCCGCATACACATCGATACGTTGGGTGGTTGCAGCTACCCTCCACCACTCACAGTACAGGTGTACACGCGCCTGCAGCCAAGGGTTGGACCGAAGGAGATCTGCCCGCGTGTGGTTGAGTCTGGGGTGTTGGGGTGCGTGGGGGAGGAATGTGAACGGATGGAAACCAATGGAACATATGTACAACGAGGTTTAGAATAGAACTGCGGCAAGTACAGTCACGGTTCACAACGGCAGCTTAGTTGAGGAAAGTGGTGCTGCAACACAAACACGTAATAGAGTATATACCAGCGTACCAGTGGGAGGGTATAGTGTGTGGATTCGTTGAGTCTCAGTCGACAGACCCCATCGCCACACATAGATGGCTCTATACACTCATATAACATAGATAGCTCAATAAACTCGTATAACATAGATAGCTAAATACACTTATATAACTTAGATAGATACATACACTCACATAACATAGATAGCTAAATACACTCATATACTCTCACATAAAATGTATACCTATGTACCCTCATATAACATAGATAGCTGAATAGACTCGTCTAAGAAAATACACTCATACAACACAGATAGCTATATACACTCACAAAACATGGATACCTATATACACTCATATAACACAGATAGCTATATAAACTCCCTTGACATAGATAGCTATGTACACTCATATAACATAGATAGCTACATACACTTATATAATATGAATAGCTACATACACTCAAAACATAGGCAGCACTTAAAAGGCGTCCCGTGTATTCAACCTACACAAAACACTCACTTTTATATGAAACCTAAGCGATCGGTAACTCATACAAAACGATTGATATATATACAGTCAGCAGTCAGAATCATACGCACAGTTTGCGGATACTTGCGCACAAGCTTATGAATACAAACACGTACACACAAGCATGTGAATACAAACACGTGCCCATTGGTATACCTCACGGTACTAGCCCGCGGATCACCCGCTATCCTTCGGATGGGTTTGAGATCGTCCAAACTCACCATGAACACAAACTCAGCCACAGCCAGGCATATCTGTGTAATGAGGATGGACCAATTGTCGCAGGAATGAGATGGCGTGCATATATAATCAGAGAAATAATCTTCAGACCGTTTAGGTCGACTGGTAGAAACACTTATGTGTATTGAATGCGCATGTACGTTTACACTAAAAATTAAATAATGAGTAGGATGTACTCTGTATAGATACCCGGTTGGTTCGGAGATGCATAAGGTGACGTGCATATGCAAAGTATATATATATTAATATATATACTTATATACATGTACAT